GAATTACATGTGTGAACCACCAGCACCCAGCTATGTGTTGGGTATTTTTGTGATAGAGTTCAAAAGCTATTTGCCTGGGTTAACTTTGAGCTGCAGTCCTCCTGAATCTGCCTTCTGAGTAGCTAGGATTACAGGTGTCCATTACCGATACCTGGCTTCAAATACACTTAAAAATTTTTTTTTAAATTGGCAGTACTGGGATTTGAACTCATGGCTTCTCACTTGCTAGACAGGCAGTCTGCTATTTGAGTTACACCTCTAGCTCTTTTGACTCTGTTATTTTGGAGATAGGATCTCACTTTTTGCCCAGACTGGCCTGGACCAACATCTTCCTATTTTACCTTCCCACTGTAGTTGAAATGATAGGCATATGCCATGATTTTTTCCATTGAGGTGAGAATCTTCTGAACTTTCTTTTTTTTTTTTTTGCCCAGGCTAGAATTGTGATCCTCTTCATCTCAGCCTCCCTTGTAGCTTGGAATGAAAGGTATGCATCACTGTGCCCAGCTATTGGTTGAGATAAGGTTTCTTGATCTCTTTGCTTTGGCTGGCCTTGATTCAAGATCCTCTTGATCTCAACCTCCCAAGTAGCTAGGATTACAGGTGTGAGTCAGCCATACCTGTCCCCTTCCCCCTTTTTTGTTGTTGTTTGTGTTGGGGATCAAACCTAGGGCCTCATGCGTGCTAAGAAAGTGCTCTATCATTAAGCTATGTAGATCTCTATCTCCAAATCACCTTTCGAATAACACCATACTGCCTTACAGGTAGTGCACATACCTTATAATAACAAAATATTTCTAATTCTTCCCTCCTATACTTTGTATCATTGCTGTCATTGACTTTAATTATACATAAGTGTACATACATACACAAGCTTACTACGTTATTACTGTTATTTGAAGCAAATTGTTACTGTTAGCTCAGTTAAGAATGACAAAAAATAGCTGGGTACCAGTGGCTCACACCTGTAATCCTAGCTACTATGGAAGCAGAGATCAGGAGGATTGCAGTTTGAAGACAGCCCAGGCAAATAGTTCAAGAGACCCTATCTTGAAAAAAACCCATCAGAAAAAAGGGTGGTAGGCCCTGAGTTCAAACCCCAGTACTGCAAAAAAAAAAAAAGAATGACAAAATATAAGTTTTCATTTTACCTTCATTCTTTCTCCAAGATTCAAGTTTCTGACCTATATAATTTTCCATATTTCTGGAAGACCTTATCATTTCTTATAAGATATGTCTACTGGTAACAAATTCCCTTAAGTTTTGTTCAATGAAATCTTTATCATACAATTACCAAAGATACCCTTATAAGGCATGGTTGATACTTTCTGAATGTTTTTCTGTGGATTGTGGAGAGATAATTACAGGGTTGAGAGGTTTGAAGAATATAAATAAAATTGGGAAATACATTGTTATAGATACAGTGCCTAGATAGCCTGCAACTTAGGATATTTAGATGACATAATGGTAACACAGATGGACTTTTTGTCAGTGATGTTGTCTACAATAGAATATCAGTGACCTTGGTGAGATTGAGATTTATACTCAGTGAGTAATAATAGTGTGTCTCCTGAGGTGGTCTTCTCTAATAGCTGGACGTCATGTGGTGATAATGCTTACAGTGGTAATCCACATCTTTGCATGGTTAACCGTGTGACCTTGGCCACTATGGGAAGTCATTTTCTTATAGACAGGCCATCAAAACCACTTGTCAGTGTCAGCATAGCATGTAATCAGCTTAAATCTCTTTTCCCTCTCTGTAGCAGTGTGATTTACATGTTTTAATGAAAGGGTCTACCAACTTGCCTCACACAGTGATGTCCAAGACTCCACCAAAACCTCAATCACTCCTTGTATTATGGATTCTATTGTTTCTCAGTGTTCCTTGGTAGTGCACTAAATGTTGAGCTCTCAGGGGATCTGCCTTTACTGCCCAGGATCTGATCAAACTGAGAAATAAGACAAAGAAATAGTGATACAAGAAAAAAAAAATCAACTTTGTTACTCAGAAATTCTAAGGTACAGAATGTTGCTTACTACTAGAGCCAAGTGGACTTCTGAACTTGACTCTGTACTTTGTACAGTGACTTATTTAGTCATTGGCTAAGACAGACCAGCAGAGTGGCCCAGTTAGAGAAGTAAAGACTGCTTGTTCCCTGTGGGCAATTTGTTTCTAAGAGGAAGAACTATAGACATGAGATGAACATGTCTCCTTTATTAAATATAAACTAATCAGTGGAGAAGAGACTAGGAATTAAACTAATCTGACTTCCTCCAGAAGGAGGAATTATTTCCCCCTTCCATGTTTGTCCATATTTTTATAATTAGTCTTTAGCTGGATAGCTGATTTCTTTCCACAGAGTGTGAGGATTTAGCTCACTAAAATGAGTATTCTGAATTCACATTTTATAATGACGTACCTGCCTTTTTTTCTCCATAGCATTTCATTTTCATTGAGATTAGTGTTTTTCCCCCTCTAGTTTCATGTTCTTAACACTAGTGCAGCTAAAAGATGTCCCTAGTTCTTCGTGTATCTGTATGTTGATAATCAAATCTACCTTTTTAAAGCGAATTTGGCTGAGATAGTCTCAAGGCTTATGGTCCTCTTGCCTTCAGCATTATCCTTAGGGTTTTCTTTATCTTGATGTTGGGTTAGATTTATTGCCCAGATACCATGTTTTTTGTTTTTTTTTCTTGTTGTGCTCTCATGTTTTGTAGCGCACAGATTCTAACTTGATATCAAGTACATGGGAGATAAATCTTTTGAGAACTTGCATGTGTTAACATATCTCTAATTTCACTTTCACACTGAATTCATAGTTTTGAGTATAGATTTTTAGTATTAAGAAGTTTGATGCATTTTTAAATCCAAATCATTGTGAAATCTGTTTTTCTCTGGATGTCTGAAGAGTCTTCCTTCTAGCTAGAGATCTGAAATCTTAGGATGATTTGCATGGTCATAGATCTGTTTTCATCATTCATGCTAGACATATGGATGAACTGTTTAAGTGTGGAAGTCATATCCTTTCATCCTGGAAAATTTAATAGCATTTTTCTTTAAATCCCTCCATTTTGAGTATTATAAACTTTAACATAATCTCCATATTTTTCAGCAGTGTACCTCTATTCTCATCTGTGTAGTATATACAGTTCAAAAACCCTATATTTTACTCCCCCAGAAAACTCCAGTGTTTTGCTATTGTGGAATGGGGGAAAGGTCAGGCTGTACAGTAATGGGGAATGTGATCTGAGGGTTTAGCTAGAAATTAACCAGACTTTTGAAGAATCCTGGGATATTGTTCTGTTCAGTCTCACCCTCATTGTCAGATATGTGTGAGCCTGTTGAAAATCCTATAATGTACTTAACTTTTCTGCTTTGTCTAATACTGGCCTTGGATTCTGCTTTCTCAGGCCTAGTTATGTGCCACCATGCATTTGTTCTACAAATACGTAGAGCATGATGGGTAATAATGAGGAAAGATGATGCATCTAAATATCTGCAAGAACAGTGACATGTGAAACTATCCTTGATTTCCTTAGCTACAGACTCTCCAGTGCAGCCGAATTTCTGTGGTGTTTTGCTTATATTAAGTGAAAGAAAGGCTAGTGTTTAGTTAGAGGATAATATGAAAATGAATATTATTAGTATTACTAATCATTATTAGAGTATTATTTTTTCCTTACCTGCTCTTCTGGAAACCCTGAATTCTATAAATGGACTCAGAACTCCTGAATTAACTAGATGGTAGTGTTTTATGAGGTTACAGTTATGTTTTCCTGTATTTGTTCATTTTAAAGAGGCATCTTGGTCAAGGGGCATAGCTCAGTGGTAGAGCACTTGCCTAGTATGCACAAGGCCTTGGGTTTAGTCTCCAGCACTGAAAAAAAATCATAAAGAGGATTCTACATGTATAACCCTGGTCAGCATTTTCATTCATTGAACAAATATTTATTAAGTATCAAGTAAGTATGAAACACGGGACACAAGAGATACATTATTTAACAAAACAGGCAAAACTCAGTCTTAAGGTGTTGACATTTCTAAAGGAATATGTGATTGATTACAGTAATCCTAGAGTATATTAACATAGTTTTATGTATATCACCATCCCTAGAAAAATAACTGAACTTGCAGATCCTTCTAATATTATCACCTTACTTGAAATAGAACTTGCAAAGTTTTTTTTATTATAAAAATGTTTATTTGAAAAATTAAAGAGTGATAGGCAGAAGGGGAAGCTTCTCATCTAGTCATTAATCAAAAATGACAAGTGTTAACACCTTAGTTTACATTTTAGTCTTTTTCTCATATATGCATACTCATTTAAATATACATTTCTTTATAAAATTTGATGATACTGTAAAAGCTTAAACATTTTGCATATATTCTAAATTGTCAGATGTTTATTTTGATTCTAATGGCTATATAATAAATAATTTTATGAAGACACCATAATTTATACCTTTTAGGGTATTCCTTCCCCCCCACTGTTAAGACTCAAGGGAGCTAGGCACTGGTGGCTCACGCCTGTAATCCTAGCTACTCAGGAAGCAGAGATCAGGAGGATCATGGTTTGAAGACAGCCCGGGGAATAGTTTGAGAGATCCTATCTTGAAAACACCCAACACAAAAAGGGCTGCTGGAGTGGCTCAAGGTGTAGGCCCTGAGTTCAAATGCCAGTATTGCAAAAGAAAAAAAAAAAACTCAAGGGAAATAAAGATGTGAATTTGCACTGTTGAGGAATCTTTCCACTTTGAAGGACATGTAGTATGAGGTATTTGCAGGAGGGAGGTGGGTTAGAATGTGAAAAGGTTTACATAATACTGTGTTAAGTTGTAGATTGCTTGCATTCTATCTTATTTTAAAATAATTTATAATTTTGTATAGTTGTAATTTTTAACTCTGATGTGGTTATTTTCAAATATTACATGAAAATCCCAGTAGAAATATGTTGCCTTTGCTCTTCTCTGAGTATTCAGCCAAATCTCTTTGTTTACAGCTGGGCTCAAAATGCAGAGAGCTCAAAGATATTCATTTTGGCCAATGTTACAAGATCTCAGATGAAGGCATGATCGTCATAGCTAAGGGCTGTCTGAAATTACAAAGAATATACATGCAGGAAAACAAATTAGTGAGTACTTGTTTTCATCTTCATGCTGTTCGTTTTGTTTCTAACATTTGAATTTTTTCAACTTTGTTTATAAATTTTCTTCTGCATTTTCTTGTGGTGGTTGAGAGGGAAATACTACTTAATGAAAGGCAAAAATCTTCTTAAAACTGGTATTATAAATTGGTCATATGATTGAGTAGATGTTTGTGAGTGGTGCTAGCTTGTTAAACATTTCTCATTAGCATGTGCTAATTTTTTTCTAAATTCTGATTGTGAACTAACAGGTAAATTGGATAATATAAAACTCGCTTGCCAGTTTTATCTGTGGTTGAAATTTCTTCTGCTTTCTCTAGGAATTCTAATATTTAAGATTTTTTAATGCCAAGAGAAGTGTATACTTGTGAAATAGACCATTTTATTTAGTATGGAAAAAAGTGGAATTCAGTAAATTGGGTCAGATAAGCTTGATAATTGCATAGATTTTATATTTTAAGCACATATGTAATGCATACACATTACATGTATTTGATCTATTTAAGACTATTCAATTTTGTCTTATTGGAATATAATTTTAAAAATAGATAATTTATTGGCTTTTAATATATTCACAGAGTTTTCCAGTCATCACCAATACCTAATTCTAATTCTAATTCAAGAACATTTTCATTATTCCCCCCAAAGAAACTCTGTGCCTAGTAGCTGTCACTTTCCCTTTCTCCCTTACTCTAGTGCCTTACAGCTGCTAATCTACTTTTTGTTTCTATGAGTTTGCCTGTCCTTGACATTTCCTATAAAAGGAATAACACAGTTTTGATCTTTTGTGTCTGGCTTTTGCATATTTTCAAGGTTCATCCATTTTTAGCCTGTATCAGACCTTCATTCCTTTTTATGGCTAAATAATATTCCAAACCATTTAATTTTGACTTATATCATGCAGATTAATAGAAAAAGCTGTCACTAGGGAGATACTAGTAGGACTTATTAATACTGAAAAATACTATAATTGAAAATGTTAGCAGTCTCCTCAGAAATACATAGCATATTTATAAAGATGACTTGTTTTTTAAATTGCTTCTCAAAAATACAGAATTTTTGGTTTTGAGTTGGTTTATAAAATTTGATAACTATTTATATCTCATATATAAACTCAAGTTTTGAAACTTTTTAAAGTATCAACTTTTAATGAGATCATAGTATCTGAAAAGATTTTAGAACAGTTGTAACACTATGAATTAAAAATAAATGCTTTTATTACCACAGACTGTTTTCCCCTGATAATACATAGTAGAAAAACTTTACATAATCCTCAAATTGCTCAGTACAAATTCTGATTTGTAAGAAATACTGAAAACCTAGTAATTTTTACTATATCACAACTAAATTTGTTAAGCTATGGTTTCTACTTCATATACAACATAAACTAAAGGTTGGCAATCCCAACTTAAAATTTTTCTATTCCTTAAGTATTAGAGATGTTTGTTGATTTTTGACTAATTTGTTTTCTTTCTGTGTAAATACAAGGTAAATAACATTTTTGTTGGCTTATAAGAAAAGTTTAGCTAAGTTTTCCCAAAGAAAGCAACTGTTTATGTTTAAAGGATGCTCTTTATTTTCACATTAGTTTTTCCTTAATTCTGTGGTACATTAAAAAAAATCATATTCTTAAATTGTAAGGAAATCAGTTCTAGATTTGGTTTTATTTCTTAAACATTTTTATTTCATTTGGAATTTGAAGTAATTTGGCTGAATCTTAAAGGTCAAAGTCAATAAAATTCTTCCTGTTTAAATTCTCAGAAAGAGAAATTTAGAATAAATTGAACTCTGTTGGAGTTCATAGGAACTTTTCTCTATATTTAAAAAAATTTTATGAAACAAATAGAAATGCTTAAGTTACTTACAACTACAAGTTCAAGTAGTTTGGCTGTTGTCATTTTGACAAGTATTACTGATCATTTAACAAATATTTATATTAGCTATTAATAGAGGTTCTTAGAACACTGTGTCAGAAAGGATACCAATAGAGTTATGTTTTGAAAAATATTCATAAGTAGCCAAATTTTTTTACTAACACTTAATAAATTGAATCTTCTCAAAAAGAATATTGGAGCTTCATTGCATAGTTGAAAAGGAATCATAGCATAGTGTTTTTTTTTTAAATGTGTAAACTTTGTAGACTCCAAATAGCAGGTTGATGGGTTTTTATACATTGGCAGTATTTGAGTGCACATTTTTCATATTATATTTCAGCCTTTAGATGGCAGCATTGTCTTTGTGTATTTCAGTGGCATAGCTTTTGTGTCCTTGATATAACTATAAAGAAACAATGCTTGCACAGTTTCTGCTGATGTTACCATTCACTTTTAGCTTTTGTCAATTAGGTAATCTTAATGGGGAAATTTCTTTTTTAAGTCACTTAATATATTAGTTGCATGTAGAATGCTCCAGGATGAACTTCATTTTATATGAAGTAGAACGATATTTGTACATTTTTATTTGTGGCTGGCGCTTCTTTAAAGTAGATAAACTTTAGAATTAACAGAAGGGTTCCTGTGTTTATTAGAAGGACAAGTTTATCATGTGGAAAAATGAGGGCAATAGTGTAACATTTTCAGCCTCTAATGAGTGGGCTGCATGCTTAGCTCAAGTGAATTATGGTGAAGCGAAGAATTGAAGACTTAGAATTTTCTCAAAAAGAGTGAGTTTCTGTTTCCTTTCCTGAGTGAGACAAGTGCCATACACCTCCATGGATCCATTTGTATTTTCTGTAAAACTTGTGTAGACTCTAGAAATAGATTTGAGGAATTCAACTATAGTAAGAGGCTAACATATCTAACATATTGTACCCATCTGCCTCTCTTCTTCTAGTGATTGTCTTTGTGTTATTTCTGTGCAGTTCTTGCCACAAAGCTGTTTTTAAGTCATATTTACTTAGGGCCTTGTCTTAGTCTGTTTTCTGCTGCTATAACAGAATACCTGTGACTGGTTAATTTGTAACGAACAGAGATTTATCTGAGTTATGATCTGGAGGCTGGGAGCATGATTCCATCTGGTCAGGACTTAGTGCTTATGCCTTCCTGTGGCAGAAGGTGGAAGTGCAAGAGAAGGAAGGAGGAAGGAGGGGGAGGAGAGGGGAGAGAAAGAGAGGAGACAGTGTGTTGGGAGGAGGGGAGACAGAGACAGATATACACATAACAGGGACAAAATACCCTTCAAAGGCATGGCGCTAAGATACGTACATTTTCAGTTTTTTTTTTTTTTTTTACTAGTGTCAAATAGCTCTCTGTTAGTAATTAAATAATGAATCATGGTTTAGAGTTCTTTTTTTTTTTTTTTTGGTGGGATTGGGGTTTGAACTCAGAGCTTTGCACTTGAAAAGCTGGAGCTGAAGGTGTATTTTTCTGATAGATTATCATCTCTTTTGAGGTCAGGGAGTATCTAATCATCCTTTTATCCATCACCTTTCTATTTTATGTTAGCATAAACTAGACATTCATAGACGTTGAGTTGGTGACATGTGGGTTACCATTGAATTGAACAAATTATTTCTTCAACTATTTTATGAACATACCTTAAAAAAGAAGATACATTTGAGCGTACAAATAAAGGCCTAAAAATAGTTTAAGATGCAGAGTCAATAGTTTTTTCACTTTTTAAAAAAATAAATTTCTCTAATTTAGTTACTATATTAATGATGCCATTGTTGGTTATCACATTTACTGAGCCAGAATCATTAATGTACTAAGGGAGTATTTGGGAGGACAATTATTTTTTAATAGCATCCAGTTCTGATCAACTAGAATATAATTTCTATCCTTCTTGTTAGAATTAGGTTGACTTGTATATTCTTTTTCATTATTACCATATAATAGTTTTAGGGAGTACATTGTGGCATTTACATAAGTGCTTACAATATATCTTAATTAGATTCACTATGTCCATCTTTCTCCTTTATCCCTCTTCCTGCTTCTTAGAACTTGACTTGTATATTCTCATCATTGATCAAATTGGTTTTATTTTGTTGAAGTATATGAAAGATCCAATGTAATTAAAAATAGAATTTGTTTGTCAGACAGTAATTCCAATATAAGGATACATTTTTACTCATTATAATTTCTTTGCAGAAAATTATAAAATAATCTACCTTTATATTTCCCCATAAGCATAAATATTCTTTAAGTATTTTAATATTTTTTCTGCTGGATCATCAGTGATTCCTTTTATTTCAATGCTCCATATTCATTCATGTGTAGAAAGTATGTCAACCACTAGTCATCATCCTTTACCATTCCTTTTCCACTAGTGCCCTCCCCTTAACGAGACCTGTTTAGCATTCCTGTGCTTCATTCATTGTTAAAGTGTCTATTCATTGTTCAGTGGAGATTTTGCCCTGGTAATTTACCTGTAAATATACTGTGCTTAAATAAGTTTAACCTCCACTGCTCTTTCTCCCCATTTTCCCCATACTCTGTATTATTTAACAGTTTTCAGTGTGTTTCCTGTGTCTTGTTCCTACACAGATGTGATGTATTGTAATATTAGTCACTCTCTGTCATTCTTTTCTTCTCTGCCTTCTCCCTTAGTCTCCTCTAACAGTCCCACTTTTGGAAACATGTTCTGTATATATTTATATGTATATGTGATAATGCTTGTATTTGTGTTGAATCTATCTCCCAAATATGAGTAAAAACATGTGAACTTTGTCTTTCTGAAGCTGGCTAATTTCACTTAAGATGATGTTCTCTAGTTCCATCCATTTACATGCAAATGAAAAAATTTCATTTTTCTTTATGGCTGAACAAAATTCCATTGTATATAAAAACAGTAAGTTCTTTTCAGGATCTTACCCTATTGTTCTCTTTTTAATGTATTGATATCTTTCTCCTAAGACTAATTTTGTATTTATCAGCTAATTTGATAGAAAAATAAATGAATTTGTTTTATCACTTAAAAGGCATAGAAACAACAAAGAATGAATGTGTGCATATGTGTTTGTGACTGTGTGTAAAAGTTTTTCCTATGTG